AGAAAACAGTTTTCCTGTATTTCTTTGCCCAGCTGACTTGTTTCTCTTTGTGATATTGACTTGAAGGTGGTAATCTTTTCATGTCTTTAGTTAATGTGCTTCATATTGTGCATCTTTTCTCTCATTTTACATGCCTAACACCAGCTTCTTCAAATATTTTCTTGCTGGTCAATCCACTTTTTCTTGTTTATTACTTATTTATTTTAATCTCTTTTTAACACTCTTAAAATCAGTTTTTCTTGTTTTTATTTTGCTAATGTCTTCAATTTCTTTTTTAATTATTCTATGATCTCTGTTCAACTATTTTACTATTTTTCAGTGTCGATTTCCCATTACACAATAAGTTTATAATATCTTCTTTCTATTTTGAGGTTATATCTGAAATTAAAAAATGTATATCAACAATTATACTATATTTATTTGCATACTGAACAATCCTTGATTTGCATAGAATCTCACACCACCAAATATGTTATTGTTAATATTTTTAATAAAAAATATATAAGCTGAAATTAACTTGGCATATTTATTATATAAATATAAGCATATCCTGAAAAATTTATCCAGCATTGGTTAGTTGATAACAATTTTACTGTGAAAATATCAATTTGTATTAAATCTAAGAGGCAGTATGGATGTGCATGATAATTCTCACAGTGAGAATTGTTCTAATGATTCAAGACACTAAATTGGAGGAATTAGATATTCAAGAAAAGATTAATTTTGTCCAGACTACAGCAGTACTAAGGAAGATGCTGGATGTTCGTAGTAACAACCACCAGACACCTGCATGAATAATATCAACAATAATAACTTAGGAAAATAGTCAAAACATCCAATCAGTCCTGTTGAGACAAAATACAAAGAGTTCTGCAATATTGAAATTTACTCTTGCTTAATCTTCAATGTTGTTACTGACATGAACACTCAGTGAGTGAATAATAATAATAGAAAAAATTTGGTAATATGAGATATTATGGCAAATATTTAAACTTTTTTCAAACTGTTTCTATAATATTGGTAGTTATTGGACAAGATTTCTTCATGACTCAAAGGTATAATTAATAATAATGTAAATTCACAGTTCTTCATTTAAAATCCTTATTATAGAAAACATTCAAAAGAGAAATTTATGTTGAATTTTAAAATATTTGTTTTCCAAATATTTACTTTTAAGTGGCTATTAATGTTCAGCATTTTCTGAATATTGCTTTTATTTGTTTTTGTTTATAGATCTTTCATTTGTCAGTTTTCACATTTATAGGTTCTTTTTTATATATGTTTGCAGATTTTCTTTTTATGAAAGTTGTGTTGGCCACAAAAACAAAACTCAAAATCGCAATTGACCTGAACATGTCAAAGTTGTAACTAAAGAGATTCACTTTCTATAAGGGTATAGCTTTTTTTGTGTTGCCTCACACCACCTCAATAATTATTAAAAATTGATTGATCTAAATAAATTCTGATGATTAAAATACTCTGAATGCTACTGTTTTTAAATTAAATTGAGGTTTTTAGTGTTAAGTATTTTACCCCACTTCATTTTTTTGTCTAAATCAAGAATTTGGGTATTAAAACAAAACAAAAAAAAAACTTAGAATTTTTAAATACCAAAGTTCTTGGTTTAGTTTGAAAATATGAGCTGGGATAAGGTTTTTTTTATTTTTATTTATTTATTTTTTAGACTAAAATCCATAATTCAAAGTCTTATATTTAGTTTAAATTAGCAGCATTTTGAGTATTTCAAATTTCAGAATTCAAATGTATATTAATTAATTTTTTAAGCAATTGGTTTTTTCTTCCCATTTATCATTTCTTTGATGTTTACTTTTATTATTTCTATTAATAATTATTTTTAAAAGTTTAACTTTTTATTTACTACCTTGAAAATAAGTAAGTTTAAATAATTTTTCTCATTCTGTATTCTCTCATTTTGTGGCTGAGATAATTGCCTATTAGGTGTCTGTGATCAGCCTTCAGCCAAAGTAAAAATCACAACATTGGATACTGATTTTCAAAGCAAATTGGCCCTTCCCACTTTCCCTATACTTATTTTTTTCCTCATTTCATTATTTATACAGCACATTAAACTTAGTAATAATTCATTGACTTGATCATCTCTCAAAAGAATTTGAATAACTCAGAATAACAAATGTATTCAAATTTGTGACACAAAAGCCTAAAATGTAAAAGCAAAATGGTGACCTTATTGTCTTCCAAATTTGATTTTGTACAGAATTTGTCAGCAAGACAGTATATAACCAACATAGTAGTAATTTTAAAAAAAAAAGCAAGGTCATTACAGCATTGTACCTATTTTTTAACCTGCATTAAAATACACTCACTTCAATAGGGTTATTAAAAATATTAAAACTTCAGGTTTTTCTTTAGATTAAAATTCATGTGTCTAACTATTTTTTATTTTTACTATAATTTGCCTATAAATCTGTATGATTGATGAATTACTTTCAAGGATTTGAAAAGCTCAAACTAGCAATCCTTATTTTTGTGGTTAGTCTGTTTTATCAACAAAAAGTTGCTTTTTGTTTCAGCTCATCTGAACATTTACTTTAGTTAAACTCTTCTATTTAACTGCTTTGAAAATTGCTGTATTTATTATGAAATGCATTTATATATCAAGTTTCTCATGCTATGCCGGTTCATATTAATAAAGTCATCTGTGCTAAAAAGAAATTTATAAGATGGTTTATTATCTTGAAGTCTGTAAAAGATGGGTTAGGATTAAGAATAGCATTTGTTTCTAATATATATATATATATATATATATATATATATATATATATATATATATATATTCATTCTTTCTCGTTGATGATAATTTACATGTCAAATTTTTGTCTTTATTTTTTAATAATTTTTTTATCATTAAATTAGGTGGGTCAGAATTGTTTTTATGATCAGTCTGGAATTTGGTTTGTATGCAAAAATAGTTTAGCTAGCAGAAAATAGATGCTAGCTTCCCCCCCCCCTATTCTAAAAGAAAAGTAATTGTTATCTATAATTTGTTCTTTTTAAAGCATGATGTTACAAATTTCATGAATTGGCAAATCATCAAGTTTGATTGTTTTTCAAATAACACTTAACAATTTACAAATTTACAAATTTCTGTTACAGTCTGATATACTAGAGTATATTAGAGATGATATACGTAGATATCTGAACTTAACAATTCCTTGATGTCCTATGATGAACTATTTATTAAAAAATATGCATGTTTTAGACTTCTTGATTTAAATTGTTTGTTACAGTAGTAAAAGTACTTTAGAAATTTAGTGCCTATGAAATCTTTAGTCATGTAGTTTATAGTTTTTAATTTTTTATGATAATCTGATGTGTTATATATTCTCATGAGGTTAGTTTATACTGTTTTATGTTTAGAAATAATTTTCTCTTCATAGGAAATTCTGAAAAAGAAAAAAACAAACCTTAAGAAAAACAAGAAAAATGTTTGTTTTTATATATATATATATATATATATATATATATAGAAAACATCATCATGAAATTTGTTCCAATAAATTTAAAACAAATATTTTGGTTTTATTTTTTATCCATGCTTGGTCTAGTTTAAGTTTTGGCACAGCTGCTTTCTTATTTCAGCAAGTTTTTCTCATAGTTACTGCATTTATTACATTGTTGTACTTATAAAATCAACAATCACCAATAAATATAACTGCTGAAAAGCAGTTTATTCAGCTAATTTCATCCCTTTGTTTAACATTTTAGTGAAAATAACTTGTTTAATTTCAAACTGAGGTTCTGCTCAGATCTAAGTAAACTTTGCATTTCCTCTGCTAATTATAATTGTTTATGAATTTGTAAAATCTGTAATACTCTAAAGTATAGATTACTTGAAAAAATATCAATAAATAATTTTTAAAAGGATATTGTCAACAGTATAAAAGTACATTCCTGTTAGAATAATAATAAGTCAGAAAGATATCAGGTTTGCTCCAAAAGTAATGCCTTCTATTTTCACAGAAACTCCAGCAAATACAGGGAACACAATAATGCTAATGGATGAAGCAAGTTTTCAGCTACAAAACCCTATTTTTCCACATAGTCATTACCACTGGTTATGTATTTTTATCAGTGATAACCAAGAGACTCTGGAATGGGGCTTGTTGTACACATTGCTGTTGCCACTGCTGAAATGCTTAACCTGCTACCTAATTGTGCTTATGTCCATTGTTTGGTTTCTATAAGCATTTAGCAAGTACTGACGAATATCAATGGGAACAATTTTTTCCTCATGGCAGAATTCAATAATATACCTGTGGGAAGGGTCAACCTCTATTGCCATAAATTATTGCATGTTAAAATAGGAGGTATTACTTTTGGGGCAACTGTCATATTTTATAAAATAGTAAATAAAAATGTACAACTCTACCTGATAGTTTGATTTAATGATGTGTTATTGATTTTGTTGTCTTGTTTCTTTGATGAGTTTTACAATTTGCTCTTTTGAATTATTTTTTTAATAGGAAACTAGTTTGAATGTTCATCCAGAATGGGAAGAGCGTATTGTCAACTACCTTGTCCACAAAACTCATCCTGTAAAGACCATGGAGCTGGCACGCCTCGTGAATGTTCGCTCACGCAAAGAAGTGAATCCCACTTTGTACAGCATGGACAGACGAGGTCTTATCAGGAAACATGGAATGCAACCTCCGACATGGGTAATTGCAGACCCACCCCAATCTCACGGTGGATACAACCAAAATGAGACGCACTACTCAAATAGCCCAGGAATTTACCAGCACAGTCCAGTTTCGAGAACTCCGCAGAACTTTTATCCTAATAATCGCGAGAGTTATCGAGGGCACAAAGCTGCAAATAATAATTATCCACGCTCCAAACGGACTTCATACAGGACTGACTGGCATAACTTTTGCTCCCCTCCATCTCACATGTATCCTGAGGGCAAAAATGAATCTCTGATCTACAGTCATAGTAACAAAGATAATGAAATGTTATCAATGGGAAATGCTAGTTCTCCAAACCGTTTGCGGTCTGAAAGTTGTAGCCCAGATGAGTGTGAAGCGCTGGAGACAGCCATTGCAAATTATCCACATAGTGGTGGGTATGGCCAGGGTTACTCCGGACATTTCCCTGTAACCCCAGAACCAAAGCAAACTGGTAAAAGAAGGAGAAATTGTGATAATTTTGGTTTGCAGCAGCATCCATCAAATGGCACAATGCCAATGAAAAACAGCGAGAAGATCCAACAGAAGAAATTGGAATTTCAGGACGAAAGATATTATGATGGAAGCTATCCATCCTATTCTGGTAATTTTACTATGAACTATGCAAATCATTTTGATATGCCAGTCTATCATCAGATAGACCGAGAGGACCCAAAGGATACTCCACCTCCGTCACGTGTGTCAATGGACTTGATAAAGAAGGACTCAAAGGACATCTCATCACATGAACGAATCTCTCCCAAGAGGAATTCAAATAGTAAGAGTTGCAATTCTGACTCTCATGATCCACAGGCAAGAGTTATTTCCTTCCTGGATAAAACTATGAATGGCTCTGCGAAGTCACGGGAAATCGCCAAGCATACAAGTCTTTCTCTGGAAGATACCCAGAAGATATTGCATAGTTTGTGTAAGAAGAAAATAGTCACAACAATTGGTGAAGATATCTACATAATGGCTAAAAATGCAGCCAGTTATGAGAATGAGATTCCAGCTGGGAAAAACTCCTCTTCAAATATGAATTCAAACATGGCACGCCAGTTCTCCAGTGGAAATAGGCAGCCTCCTGCGCCCCCACATGTACTATTGGCGGATAATGGCATCAATTCCGGCAGCATGAAAAGCGTATATTTCCAGGGTAACAATGCTCCCAAACAATCTGGGTCAAACTCTAGTGATTCAAAATCAGCACAGAGCCAAGTGGGCAGAAGCCCTCATCTACCCCCTTCCCCTCATGAACTATTAGCAAAAGACCCAATTTTCAAGGGGGACATCACTACACCCAATTCAAACGCTTCAAAGGACTACAGCCAGTCGTCATCATCTTCGTCAGCATCCTTGTCGTCCTCAACGTCAAAGAACTCAAGGTGGAATAGCAACACTGCAGCGACAGAGAGTTCCAGAGCTCCGAACACGACCTCTGCTTCAACATCGTCAACTACATCATTTGCTCCCACTCCAAGCAAGTCTGCCTCTAATTCAAAACAAGCTGCACCTAGTCCCAAGCAGCCATCTCCAAGTCCTAAGCAGAACACCCCTAAGAGTTCCAAGAGTTCCAAAAACAGTTCCAAGCAGAGAGCCACAAGCCCCAAACAAAGCAGCACTCCTAGCTCCCAGGCGTCCTCTCAGTCAAATTCTAATACTACCACAACTGCCACCTCAAGTAGCAAAAACAATAAAAATAACAACAATAACAATACCTCCATAGAGAATTTGCAAGAAGCCCTCAAGAATACATCTATCTCGTCCCCGACTGAGACTACTGAGAGCAAAACGCCCACATTGGCCGAAATCAAGGCGGCAGCAGTGGCGCAGGCGTTGGCCGACAAAGCGGCTGAGAAAGGAGCTGACAAGTCTGGTACTGATTCATTGGCACCAAATCTACAGATCACCTCAGAAAGTTTCGCCGCTCTCAACAAAAATCCAGTTAGCGCACTGATGGAATATGCTCAACAGCGACACTTACCCGTTGAATTTAAGCTTTTGTCACACAGAGGACCTTCTCATCGACCGTTGTAAGTAATTGTTTTTTTCTTATTTTTTATCTGAAGCTGATTATAAATTTTGTCTTGTTGGTTATGATTTGCCCCATATTTAACTTGAAATCACTGAAGGCTAAAATGAATAAATTTAAATTATTATAATTAATAAATTAAATTTCATAAATTTTGTGATAATAAGAAAAACGTTTTTGAAATTTTATCCCTATTTTTTTTTTTAATTCTCTAACTTGGAAGTAGATTTTAAATCCTAATGACTGACCTTAAAAGGGAATGAATGACCTGCATATCCCTTGAATATGTGGAGTGCATATTGGTGTTCAGCATTTTTTCTGAAAGTGTAAATTAAAGACTTTCTCATAACAAACAAAAGATTATGAAGAGGCTATGTTTCTTTTGATTCTTGGAAATTGATAAGGAAAGTGAAAAATATCTAAAAGTATTTGTGATCTGAATAAGACCTTTTAGTATTGAACATATTTCTAATATCACAAAATGTAACATTGTTAATATATCTCTAAATCCCAAAAACTGTGGCTGAAAAGTTCTTGGTTCAATCCACTTCCCTAAATTAAATCAAATCAAATGACCAAACCTTTATTTATTTATTTAAATAATAATAATAATAAAAATTGCAAGGATATTTTGGTATATCTGAAAACTTTTCAGTACCTCCTTGTGTGGTAGCTTTTTCAACAGTGCTTGTGATTTCAAAATGTAAATACCACTTGCAATTCAGTTTCTTGTCATGAATATATGGCTATGATTTATTCACTTCATTTATAGACCTGATTATGTAGAATGAGTGGTTCTGATAAAGCTACAACATAAATTTTGTGAATTTGAAACAATATTACAATTCTTCATAGATGTACATTAATGTAGTAAAAATTTCAAAACATTTGTATAATTTTTAAAATATGGAATAAAAAAAATCTGATAGAATTATTTCTGTTTGTGCTGTTGCGTTCTAAAAATGATTAAATTTTAAAAAGTCAGTCAATTTGCTGGAAGTACCATGTGACTTACAAATTACTTCATTACAATTGACAAAGTACTAAAATATTTTTGAACTTCTAATATCGGCAACTATACAAAACTTTTCATTAAGGTTTGTATGACAATTAAAAACTGCACATGTAAAATTACTTTCTTTGAGAATGAGACAAAGTGCCACTTCAAATGTTACTTTGTATAGATTTTTAAATTTTGAATGTCACTCCATGAAGATAAATTTTATTTATTAAAATTTGTTGTGTGTTTGCCTGTTATATTCACTCTTACTTAGCCTTGAATGCAAAAATGTTGTTTTATTTGGATGACCACCTGCTATTTTGTCAGTTGTTTGTAACCATGTCTGTAAATACTTACATGTTCTTGCATCAAATGAGAAAATTATCTTAATTGAGTTATGATTACATACATTTGAATTACTGCCCACTTAAAATAACTCATTGTTTTCAAAACATTAAAATAATCAGGAATTAGTTAAAATTTACTAAGAAAGAAAATTTGTACAGACATTTTATACAATAGAAGTTGTATTTCATATATTTTTATATATCATGGTGATAAGTTATTACCTTCCCACGTGTTTATTATGTCATAGGATATAAATATAGTGTAAGTCTTTTAAAATATATTGTGTATGAATATTTTTCATTGACAGTGTGAAAAATTCTGTCAACTAGTTGCTAACTTTAATATTTTAATTCATACCATGTTGAACTGTTTTGTAGAGCTATAAGGACTTTGAAATATGATTCCCACTCAAAATGGGTTAACAGGATAATATATTTATAATGACTGATGGAATTGATTGAGCTGCAGAAATTTCATTACAAATGAATAGAATTGCTACTCTATTTTTGTTAATGCTCCTAACATTGTCAGTTGGCACTTTATGACTTAGACAAAAGTGATTATTTTTGTGGGGGTACTTATAAACTAGGCATTTGGTGTGTTCATCTGTCATAGTGTGGTCTCACTTTAATCTGCTTGTGTGTGTTATATATATATATATATATATATATATGTGTGTGTGTATGACTGGCTAATAAAAAAGCAGCATCAGAGGCATGCTGCTGCTGATTTCTGGTATCTGCTATAGCAAACAGCTGAATAAACAAAATTATGTCAACAATCCATCATCATTGTTGGATATACCATAATCTTTGATACAAAGTACAATTCTTTTACTTAGGTTTCTCCAATAAATCTGTTTTAGAAGCAAGGTAACTTCATGTTCTCTCGGACAAAATATCTTTCAGGATCCCTGTTCCAAAATAATCTTCTTTGCAAATATTCATTGAAAAATTGATTGACATTTTTTACTGTCATTCATACCAACTATTTCAGAAAAGTTTCTTTCTCAAATATTAAAACTTAAGCCTATTTGTGCATATTTGCACAAACTATAAATGACACTGACAATGTTATTACTACTATAATAAATATGAATGTATGTAGTTTTGCACAGATCCCAGTTTGAAGGCTCTACCCCAATGATCTGTCCAGTTTGATACTAATTTGTCCCAGTTGTTTGAATTGTACTGAAATGGCCCAGTTTTTTATCCAAACTTGTAGTTGTTAAATTGAGAATGTTTGTGTATTATATATCATGGTACTGTTGAACATTTTAAAGTCCTCAGATATTGGAAAGTGTGTGTGTGTTTAGAAAAATATGACAAATTGGAAAGGTTTTTTGTGATGCATTTCATCTGTCAGATTTCATTAAACTGGGTTTTGATGGCATTGCCATGTCTACACAAGCGCACGAAATGAGAGATGCAGGTAGTCATCAAAGCCCAGTCTGAGGAAATCCTAATGGATGAAACGCGTCACAAAAAAACTTTCCAGTTTGTCATATTTTTTCTAAATACCGTTTGTTAATATATAAAATGATACAAAATTATATATTGTCATATATATACACTTCTTTTATATATATATATATATATATATATATATATATATATATATATATATATATATATATATATATATATATATATATATATACACACTTCTATATATATATATATATATATATATATATATATATATATATATATATATATATATATATATATATATATATATATATATATATATATATATATATATATATATATATATATATATATACTTCTTTATATATATATATATATATATATATATACTTCTTTATATATATATTTACTTCTTTATATACTTCTTTAACCTTTGGTTACATCAGAAATAGTAAAATAATTCATTGTTTGTTTGAAAACCATTCTTACTGTCAAAGCAACAAACAGAAATGCAATTCAATGTTAAAGATGTGAAAAATTATTTATGTTCTCTACTCTACAATCATTTCTTTCCTACATGCAGTTAATTTTCATTTATTATGGTACATGCACTAATTAGCTGTCATTTACCTCTTAGCTTCTTAGAACATAGCCTAGGATAGATTGTTATTTCAGTCATTAATGCTTGTGCTGGAATTAATATGCCACATGTTGTGTGCCAGCCAATCTACTTAGACACACACATAGTGAAGTTCAGACTATTTTACATCGATGATGCAGTTGTTAGCAATGTTCAGCACAGCCAGAAGGAAAAATGAGGTTCAATTATTTTGAATTCAGTTAATTTTGAGCAACAAAGGAATTGAAGAGAGACTTAATGTAGATTCAGTTTGCTTCATTTATGACAAATACTTTAAACAGAAAAAATACCAAAATGATACATGCCATTGTGTGATATTTTCTATCAGAGGAATGTGTCAAAATAATTTAGATTTTCAGTAAGACATCAGAAATGTTGATAAATTGTTAGAAAAACACATTTTATTTTTAAAAAATGTTGCTTATCTGGGGGTATAAAGAAAAAAACAATGTATATATTGAACTGAAGAAGAACCTCAGTAAAAATATTATAGGTTGTTGATGTACTTCCTATTGAAATGGAAATTTTGGATAAAACATATGAGTATTTCTACATTTACACTGTGTGTTATACAGCTAAAAGAATTCTGTTATCTTGTAGAAATTGAGTCCAAGAAAATTGTCCAGATTTCAAAGTATTGAAGTTATATCTTTGTTCACAAAAACAATGCCCATTATTGATAGACTTTTAGAGATCAAATGTAGAAAGATGTGTCTTTGGTTCATTGACAACTAGGCTTATTTAACAAAATAATTTTAACCATGGTGAAAATGAAAGTAACTACCAAGTAATATTGTTATAGAACTTAAGTTAAAAACTAATCTGAAATAAAGAGATAATAAATACTCAAGAAAGAAAGAGGGGGAATTTCAGATTGAGTTGATAAGGAAAGAATTTCCCAGTTTTTTATGGTTGCTACCTTATCTTTAGTTGTGAGAAAACAATTTTGGTGGTGGGGAATCCTTTGTTTGGATAGAAAACAGTGTTTCCATGGGGTTTGTTATAGGATCTTATGCTAGAAAAAAAAAATCAATAAAATGCTTGGAAATGTGGAAATCAATGTTGATGATTTGTTTGAAGTTGTCCTAGCTAAATCCATTTGGTTATAGAAATATGATGAATGGAAAACCAAAAAATGGCTAAGACTTTTTAACTATTTCCAAAGACCAAAATATTTTTTTACCTAATCTCGGAAAGGTTATGAAGTATATTTTTCTCTGTTGGAAGAATATTTTTAATGATGAATAGAATTTGGTTGCAAGAAAGAAGTTGATGCAACAATAAAAGAACTTTTAGATTGTAATTTCAATATTGACTTGAGTTGCAATAAAAAATAAAACAAATAAACTTTTTAAGAAAGTTCATTTAAATGGTGAAATGAAGTGTTCATTAAAAAAATGAATGAAATTTAAATTTTCTTTGCTTTGTTAAATTTAAATAAATGTTAGAAATATAAGCTATCAGTATATATATATATATATATGTGTGTGTGCACGCCATGAATGTTAAGGGATGTTGGGTCATGAAAACATTTTATTATATAAGTACTTAAAACTATAATAAAGATTAAAACTTGTTGCAGTTTGAGGCTAAGAAATTGTGGTAAGCCTCAATGTCTCTATGCTTCATTTGGTAAAAATTTATTCTTTAGCTATTCTGATCTGTGCTTTTGTCTACAAAGTGTGTATTTTTTTCATTGGTCATTCATTTTAAATTAAATCCATAGACATTGAATTTTAAATCACCTTTAGAGACAGTTCCTATTCAGTGTAGCATTTTATTTCATAATAAATGTATTTGCACTCTCTATATCCAGATAAATTTATTTTAAAACATTTTCATTAATAATTCAATGAAAATCATGGAAAACTTCCAATTTTTTCTAAACATTAAAATACTCATTTTACAATTGCAATTATTGGTCATTTGCATGTCTAAATTTGAATTTTATAAAAGTGAAAAACTTACTTTACATTTTGGACTAGTATGCTCATCTTGCTTTATACATTCATAATATTTGGCCATTTTATGATCCTGGCTTCTTCAGATGTACATAGTAACCTTTTTAAAATTTTGAACCAAACCTGAAATTCAATCTAATGTTGTTTCATTCCACTTTCCATGCTTAGTGAATAATTCATATTCATTAATTTCTTCTTGTCTTTCCACTTTTGTATTACTTGGCTGTTTCTTCCATTGAACTATAGATTATTTTTTGCAATACACAACCCAGGGATTGAACTCATAACAGTCAAAAAATGAGATCTACTTTTACCAATTTAATCCACTAAACCTAGCATAGAAATGAACACCACCTATGAGCCTCTGATTAAGAAAGGATACTTAAAAATACCAACACTTGATTAATGACATTTGGGGTTAAGGCTTCAAAGTTATAACACTAGATTGTCCAAGGTTACTGAATATGATAGACAGCTGAAGAAAGCCAGAGGGTCCAATGGTCAAAACCTTGTGAATATAACAATCAATATAAGAATATTTGTCTAAACAGAAAGGCATATAATAATAATAATAATACTCATCTCAAAAATTCCAACATAAAATAAAAATATTTCTTGATTTTATCTAGTACTATCCATGTTAATTTTCAATTTCATCATTAACCATTTTTAACATTTATTTTTAATGATCAACTTTTAAGATTAAAAAATAGAGAATAAACAGCTACAGTTGACAAGGTCAAAATGCATGTTTACTTCTATTACTAGTACAATGAAAAATTCTCTTTTTGCTTTGGATTAAAGTATTTTTTTTAGCTCACTCAAATAAGTGCTAAACAAACTATAATGGTAATTCTTCCTTTTATACCTGTTCTTTTTCTTCATACTTGTTTTAAAACTTTTAGTTCTGTAGGCAGTGCGATCTAATCACTGCACATAAGTTTTCACAAAAGGAATATATATAAGTAATCCAAGTGTGAAGTTAAATTCTATATGAGAACCAGTGCTTCATAGAAAAATATTTGGTTGTTAAGGTCTTCCATATAAAAAAAAATTAGCATACCTTGTGCTTTATAATATATCAGATCATTTTTGTTTATTCTTCTTTCTAATCTTGACAGAAATTTGTTTACAAACACAGTTTCACTAGTTTCAGATTTAAATGTTATCATTAACTGATTCAACTTGGGGTTAAAAAATGTATTGGGTAACATTTATTAACTACTAGATGCAATGGCTGGCTTCTTGTTTCTGAGTTTGCCTGTCTATTTGGGTGGCTAGCTAGTCCCTGTTAACAGATGCTTGTTCAGTCACATTTGTGTTTCTCTAACACCCATAGAGCCAACTTGTAGTTTATACTGCAATTATGTTGAGCAGACCTTAGATTCTGGGAGAGAGTGTATCATCTGGTATGATCAGTACTTGAACAAGGCTAGTACCTTCAAACTGTTGATCATAATGGCTTGTGACTTTGTGCTAGCACAACAATTGTCAGCTTCCAAATGGTTTCATATACCAAGTTTCACTTACAAGGCTTGGGTCAACCTGTGGTATGGTTTTCAAGCAATCTCTAGTGATGCTGCATGCTGAGATGGTCTCCCCAGTTTGATATTATTTAGAAATCACATTCTTGACAAATAGATGTATTGGAAAGCTAAAGATCATACCAACTAAAATGTAATAAAACCACTAAGATAAGGATACTAGTTTAAACACTTTCTTTGTGTATATGAATTGCCTCTAGAAATTGTCAAAATACATTACCCCCCCCAAAAAAAGATTATAAAATTGATTTTGATGATGTTGTAGTATTTATATTTGAGTGAGACAATGCATTTTGGCATTCATGAAAAATATACTTCTGTTTAAAGCAATTTAGTCAGCACAACCATTTTCAGATTCCTGTGGTTTGAATTTAAGCTAATAAATATACTAAGGTTACTTATATTAGTCATAAGGATTAACTGTAAGCTTGAGTGTATGTGATTATGTTTAAAAAATCAGCCTCACCAAATCTTTCTTATTTTAAAGCTTTCAACAGGAAAAGAAATAAACATTGATGACAGAAACTAGAAAAATCCCATATTATCTAATTATTTATTGGTATATTCTCTAATAATTATGCAATAAACTGTCTAAAATATCGTAGAAGAACAAAGATTCATTTCCTAAATATGTTATGATATCATTGATAAAAACACAAGACATTAACAAGAAAAGTTGCTCCCTACTTTTTAAAAGGTTTATTTCCTATACATGGTTTTCTGGTAATGTGTTGTCATCAACATAATATGAGCCTCAACTTCTCTCTCAAAGCAGCACTGGAAAAAATCAAGCTGGAAACATCCACACTTACATACACACACACACACACACACACACACACACAATTATTTTTGTGATGAATACATATTTTTAAATAATATTATGCTCTACTGTGTATCGTGCACTGTTTTTAAAAATAAATGCTAAAGATCTCTGGATTATAAATCTGACTGTTCTTTCTTTTTATTTTGAGATATATATATATACATATATATAATATGCATAGATTTACCTAGCAAATGACATCTTATTCTCTTTTCTTTTTTTTTCTTTTCTTGCTATTAAGTATATGATCTTAGTGTATTTTGGTTTTTCTTCAGGTTCAAATTTGCCGTGATTCTTGGTAAACGCCAGTTCCCCAGTATGGAGTGCAACAGTAAGAAGGATGGTAAGAAAGAGGCAGCCGATCTGACATTGCGCATTCTCATTGCTGAAGGACAGTATCAACTGGAGAACACCGTCTCAGTAAGTACTCTAGACATTTACTGTCAACTATCAGAAATAAAAATCATTATTTAAGATGTGTCAGACTAATAGCAAGATTGCATTGTGGTTGGATACAAATGAGAATCCAAAATATTGCCCAATATCACACAACCCTTTTTGGGGGGTTATGCTTAATGTTTGGTATAACAGGATTTCTTTGATATTGCTTTCTTCATTGATACAACAGTTATTGCTCAGAGTTATCAACCAGCTTCAGGTAGAGCATTCAGAACTGAAATGGTACTCAGTTTTGTGAGTAGAAAATGTGTCATTTTGCAAAATGATAGAATCATTTTAGAAAATGATGTTCCTGAAGTTGATTATACTGGAGAATTTGTTGTACTTTGCATTTTTTTCTTTTTTTTTAAACTTCCCTTGAATTAAAATGACAGGTTAAAAACTTCTCCAATCAGAATCAATTTGGATTTATTGAATTATTAATATGACGAATTCTGTTGAAAGAAACTTATAACTTGCTAATATAACTTGCAATATATGTATCAAACTACAATGTAATATTTTAACTGAATAAGTAATTTTTACTAAGATTTTTTGAAAATTTATTTTGTTAAAATAAATTTATCAATTTGATAATTTAAAATGATTAAAGATAGTGACACCAGCTTTTATGTTTATATTTGTTTATTAAAAACGATTACGTGAACAGTGGAGGCATGGCAGAATAATGGATAGGAGGTCGGATTGAGGAATCGAAGAGTTGAGTTTGAATTCCATTTCATTACATTCTCTTACTTGCTCATACCCTTGGGAAAAGTATGAATCCATCTCTTCTCCCCCTAGCTATGTGTAACTAGCAGAACAGACTGAGTTATATAACCTTGGGTGGTAATCAGTCTAGGAGAAAGAAAAACTCTGAATTTAAAACCTTAGGGCGGAGTGTATGGACTGAGGGTGACCGACACCATATTCGGTGGTTTTTGGCTGTCGGTCAAGAGCTTCAAGAGGAGATGGGCACCGCCAAGCTATCTGAAACCCCCCACTGAAAAGATCACAAAGAAGAAGAATCAAAGTCTGTTTCTTCTGCCTTCAGATCCCCCTTAAGGGACTTCTTTTTTTTTCATGTGAACAAATTAAATATTTAAAAATAAGCATTTGATCAATTTAAATTCATCTTTATTGAAAATATTTTAATTTCTTTATCAAATTTAAAAATATAAATTTTTAAAATGCTTACTTTTCTTTCTTTCATTTTTAAGTTACTTTTTTCCTTTTTTTTTTTTTTGTTTTTAAGTATCTTTTATCGATTAAGTATTTTAACTTTGTAAATTTGTCTTCCAAAAATTTCAAATTGATAATCACCTGCCTTTTCCAAAAATGTAACATACAAAATATTTCAAAATATTCACCATGCTTTTCATGTTTGAAAAAATGTTTTCTTAATTCTATCTTTGTAGGCATTGAAAACAATTCCACCTGCTGAAATGACACATTTCGACAAAATGGCTGCCTTGAGTCACCAGGCATTTAACAACATTGCCTTGCAAATCCCTGAGAACCTTGCTGGGAGAAAGGTCATCGCTGCTTTGGTGATGAAGCGATCACCAACGGATACGGGAATTGTTATCAGTGTTGGAACTGGTAAATAAATAATAGCAATTTTTTTAGTCATTCAAAAGAAATACTTTGAGTATATTTTTTTCTTTTTCTCAAATCTTGTGTATCATGTCCATCTGGGTTGTAGATTGAAACAAATCTCGGTTTTCATCTATGCTACAAAGCAATAATCACTTTAATACTGTTTACGTTTCCTTTTACTTGTATCCAAAGATTTCTCAGTTGAATTCAAGTCAATGATCTTTGTTGAAGTTGAATAAAAATAATTACTTGTGAATTAGATTCTTCTGTTTGAAACATTTACACCCAGTTCTCCTCAGGTCTTTTCACAAATAATAGAACCAAATTTTAAGTTATCATTTATTTGATCAAGGCTGTGTTTCAATTTTTAGGTAACCGCTGTTTAACCGGTGATCATTTGAGTTTGGAAGGCAACAGTGTCAATGACTCTCATGCTGAAATAATCACACGCCGAGGTTTTCTGAGGTAAGAATCTTTTATATTTTTAGATCATCTCATAATGACAACCTGTCACTGGATAATAGCAATAAGATAGTGTGCAGAAAGAAACTTTGGCATTAAATGGCCAGATCTTAAGCTGTGGCACAGTTACTAGTCAGATACATTTTACTAAAATATACCATAATTATAAGTGATTATCATGTTCGGTAATTTTTTTAGTTTGATTCAAACATCCCAAAGTGAATAAAATCAAACACTTTATACAATTTTTCTTTCTATTTTTGGTAAGATTTTTGTCATTTCTATAAAAAACGAGTATATAAATTTAATGTATCATCATATCCAATACCTCTCATAAGAATCTTTCTCCATAATTACTGTTAACACTTTTGCTTTATTTTGTCACTTTTTTATTTTGTAATAAAATTTTAAAACCAATTCAGATAACGTATGTAAATTTTGCTAACTTCCCAAACTTTTTTTTGTGTAATATAAAGAATTATTCTAGAACTTTTCAAACCATTTCTCTTTGTCCAGAGATGGTATTTCTTACCATTTAACAAAAAAAAAAATGAATAACTCTAAACAGTCTTTAAATATCTTGTACAAAGATGATTTTTTTGTATTGGCATAATTTGAAAAATTATTTAAATACTGTTCTTCTGCATCTTTAAAGAATTTCTTGTATGATACAGAAGAAATTTTATTTTGTTTTTATTAATAAATTTATAAAAGTAAATTTCTTTTAATTTTTTTTAGTTCTGTCTTATACAACAAATTCAAATTGTATTAAAATAGTCTACAATATAATTGATATTTATCTTTTGAATACTATGTTTGTATCACATCCTGCAAAATTATCAGACATGTCACACTTGTAGCAGTTTGAAGCATTAAGTCTAATCTTTAAAGGAATGGATGAAAAGTAAATTGTTCAGAAAGGTTTATGCATTGTTGGAATCCCATGCAAACTTCTCAATGCAATCAAATTGTTTTTGCTTACAACACTGAACTGATAAATCTTTTTTAACACAGTTTTGTCTAAGAACAATTTTTAATTTTCTGATCATCAATTTACATTAACATTTAAGTTATTTGAGACAATAAGGATTCTTTGACCCTTTGTTTTTAGTTGTGAAAATGTTTTTGTAACAAGTTTTGGACATTGTTTAATTTGGATGTTTTCTTGTTAAAACATCTTTTAGTAAAAATTTTAAAAAAACATGAGGTTAAATTTACATATATTTCTCTTTATAGATATCTGTACAAACATTTACTGGAGTATGATCCCGAAAAACCCCATGACCTATTTGAGAAAGGTGAACGTAGTCTTTGCCGGATAAAAACTAATATTACATTCCATCTGTATATATCAACTGCTCCTTGTGGAGATGGAGCACTTTTTTCACCCAGGTAAATATGACTCACCATCAGTGTCTTTTCTATATAAATCTAAAACCGTTTCTCCCATATTCCTTGCACATATATAAATGTTGAATAAACTGAGTTCTGAAATACTATTATATGATATTCCGCTATTACTATTAAAAATTGTTTTTGTAGATTTTATAGTTTGTAACTTTAAATATGCTATACTGATGTCTTAAAAATATCTTTTCAAGTCATATCCAATAAATGAAAGTTTTCAAACTCTATTAAATCTTTAATGTGTTTTATTTTTCAAGGGATACCGACTCCAGTAATGTGAAAGTGGATGAGGAAAATAAGCACGTCCATAATCCGACTTTTTCAAGCAGTGTTCAGGGATTGCTGAGAACCAAAGTGGAAGGAGGTAAGAATTTTAAATATAGCCCAACTTGGTCAGTATAATCTTTGTTTGGAGACTTTAGAATTATTTACATTGAACACATTTTACTTTATATCAAATCAAATTTTTTTTATATAGTTTTTCAATATTAGCCTTTAGAAAGTCTTCATTGACTAAAAATAGCAAATATAACAATCTTAACTCACTCATATTGTTGGCAATCCAATCATCTTACCTCATGTCTCGGATATCCAATTATAATGTTTTAAAAATAATACGTACAGTATCTTTTCCCCACCCCTTTTTGTGTAATTTCCTTTCAGGACATAAGCAACTATGGGTCTCTACAGATTCCTTTCCTTTATTATTTAAGTTGACATGGTTTCTTAGGAAAGATAGAGGAGTGGTTTCCTGTTACCTTCCCTATGGCCTTAAATTCCATGTTTCTTCAGGAGGTAGGCAATCATGCCTCTTCACAGATTCCTTTTCTTTATAATCTGTGATTCCATGGTTTCTTGGGAATGATAGTGAAGTGGTTTCCCATTACCTCCTCCATGGCTTTAAATGCCATGTCTCTTCAGGAGGTAGGCGATCATGCCTCTTTACAGATTCCTTTTCTTTATTATCTGTGAATTGAGATGATTTCTTGAGAAATATAATGAAGTACTTTCCCACTGCCTTCTCTACAGTTTTGAATTCAGAATTGTCCAGAGAGTCTACCCTATTATTTCACCTATAGTTTGTGTGAAGAGATGGATTTGAGCCTTTCCCAAGAGCATTTGTTAAAGTGAGCACAACTGACATCCATAACCTGAACTCTGCTTGTTGATTCCACTTTCCTTGCTGATAACCATTACACTACCTACACATCCTATTTTGTTGCATTACAACTTATAATTTACATGAATTTTTATTTGTATTTTATGTAATAGATCTATACAAAACAGCTGGTGAAAAATGATTCTAATGACTAAAAAGACAGAAATGTTGTGTATGCATCTGTATTCACCCTCTAAGCTATAAATCTATTAAATAAAATCTTGTGAAACCAATTTATTTCAGAAGTTCCATAAGTAATTCAAATCTACATGTGTGCAGTCCTATGTACCACATGATCTGTGCAATTTTATAGTGAAAGCTTTAAAAGAGCAACAGTTAAATGAAAGAACTTATTAGATTTAAACATTTACTAAGAAATTATTTTGTATTTAAATTTTATTGTTATAGAATTTTATGCTATCCAGTTACAAAAATCTCTTGTAATTTCAGTTTTCAACAGTGATTTAAAATTTTAGATTAATCAGTTATAAATGTTGAAATCAGAATTGCTCATTCTTAATTATTAACGGGCATGAATTGTAAAAATATTTTTCTATATTTGTGAATAAAATAAACAGTTTTTAAATATTTTTCAATTGTATTTTGTAAAAAAACATTTTTTTTATCATATTTTATTAGCGATCAAATGAACAACTTGTAAGCCCTATTTATTTTCCTTTTATTGTTCTGTTTACTGCTTTGATTTAATTAACATGGAAATGTTAAATATAAAATTTCTTGGTTCAATAAAGAGTTCGACAGGATTTTATCAGCAACGTGAAAAGATTAGATTTGATGCATGATCTCTTGGCCATATCTTTATTTTAAATTCTGGGAGAAAGTTACAAAAAAGATTCTAGCTTCAGTTTCCTTAATTTGGGTTGGGAGACATAACAGGCTTTAAGTTATGTGAGTTAACCTCACCTTGGAAGGTAAGCCTTTGAAAAAGAAAGTAAACTGATTTGAAAATAAGCTATTTCTTGTTCTCTCTTTTTAGCACAAGATATTGGTTAATAATCAATTTAAGAACAGTTTTGTAGTTAACATAAGAGCAAAGACAGAATTATGTATAAGAGAAGCTAACAGTTGATCTTGACAAGTGAACTGATTATGAATTTAAAAAAATCATTAGTTCAACTGTACTTGAAACTACTGTTACTAAAGAATATTCTAAAACTAATATAAATCTAAATTAAAAGACAATCGTTTACACCTTAGTTACATTCTTTTTTTTTTTTTTTTTTTTTGGATGCTATATCCCTCCAAGATGTAGACAACCATGGCTCTCTGTAGATTACTTTTTGTTAGTTGTAAACAGTGAAGTGATTTCCTGTTGCCTTCTCCATGTTTTTGAATTCAAAGTTTTCCTTTGCCTATACTGGTTGCCACACAGCTGGAGAGACCAGTTTACCCTATTATTCAAGAGGGAGAAGAGCTGGATTAATCGCTTTCCCAATAGCATTAGCATGTAAGTGAATGCAGCAGATGAGGTTGAAATTTGAACTCTGTTTGCCATTTCCATTTTCTGCAACAATAAACCATTAGGCTAACTGCTCTTCTTATTCAGGTATTGTTTAAAAAAAAAAAGTCTAGTCAAAAAATCATAACTATTATAATGACATACTTTTTATTTCCTGACCCCAAAACACCTTGTACTTAGTACACATTTGTTAAATCTCAACTTCTCCAATGTACTTCTCTGTTGATAGCTGCTTTTTTTTCTTTTTTGTAATCAGGTTTAAATGTACATTGCTCAATTCAAATGTCTGTGTAATAGTATATTCAAATTATTACAAAAGCTGCAATTAGCAGTCAGGTTCTTTTTTATCCCTTTGTATTGCTGTGAAAGGATATTCCTGATGAGGAAATGATATTCTGATGTCCTGTGGTATCCAAACATTGCTCTATTCATATGAAAAGATTCCTCATACTGTGCCAAAAAAACATGCCCCACACCATTACCCTGCTATTATTCATTTAGATTACTGACAGCCAGTTGGGTGATGCTCTATTGCTTCCTTTTTTTTTTTTTTTTTTTTTTTTTTTTTCTTGCTACATTTCAGTTTTTCTCTCTGTAAGAAACTTTTGAAGCTCAAATTCATCTTCATTTGTATTTATTCAGTGAAGATAGCTGTCACTTCTCATTTATATTGTTTACAAGGAGTGGGGAGCTGACAGCAGGTAACTCCACTCAACCCCAGTTAAATATAGACCCAAACAGGGTTAATTAAACCAAATGTATTTTCTTCTCTCTTTTTAATCTACTCAGTTCAAGCCTTCAATATCTTGATAATGATGATGCCTATATGTATTTCACTTATTTTCTACAGCAATAAGTCAACATGGAATAAATTTAGTAAAGCTTATCAAAACAGGATTATCAGTTATATTTTACAAGAGCCAAAATATCACAAAAAGCACAATTCTGTTTTCACATCAATGCTATTACACATATTTACCAATGATAAGTTATCAGGTTGGCCAAAGGGTTCATTCTGTTTTATTCTTAAGATGCCATCAAGAGTATTTAGTCATAACTTTATTCAAAAAGATCTCTTTTGGTTATAATAGCTGCTATATATAAGTATGTATTTTACAAAAAAAAAACTTTGTCCAAATTGATTTGTTTTTGTTTATTGATTCTATGAAGATGAAAGAAAATAACTTTTTTGGTATATTAATGCTTTTTTTATTTTAAGAAAGGTCAAAGTGCAACACAAATACAAAGAAAGATTTGTGCATTTGATGGATAAAACTTCTGTGAATAATCAAATATGTCAAAAGTGGTTTGCAAAGCTTTGTGCTGGAGATTTCTCACCAAATAACACTTTTCAGTCAATTAGGTTAGTTGTGATTGATAATGATCATATGAAAACATGGCTTGAAAATAATCATGGTTATATAGCAGCTATCATATGCAAAATACCCAAATCAAATGCTGAAAATCATTTGCACCAGCTTGGTTATGTTAATCACTTTGATGTGTGGCATCCATGTGAGTGAAAAAACCTACTGGATCATACATTTGTGTTTAATTTGCTGCTGAAACATAACAAAAATGTTTCCTTTTTTAATTTGTGGATATGTTACAGTCAAGGGAAATGCAAGAGATGATGGAATAAACAAAATGAATACCTATTAAATATAGCAAAGGCTGGTCTTCGTTCAGTGATGCTGTTTAGATGATGGGTTTGTAAGAGATTCTTTTGTTATGACTACTTCTATAACACCAAACAATTACTGCTCAACTGAAGGCATTAATCAACAAGATATTTGTAATTAGTAATGAGAGTATGATATTCCATCAAGATAATGCTAGATTGCATGCTTCTTTGATGACCAGACAAAAATTGTTACAGCATTCTTGCAGAATGTTTACTCATCCACCCTAATCATCAGATATTGCACTTTTGGATTAGTATTTAATCCACTATTTGAATATTTCTTTACCTGAGTAGACATTTCATTTCCTGGGAAGGCACCTGGAGCATTTCTTTTTTTCCAAAATGTTATTTTGGGAGGATGGTATTATGAAGTTGTTTGAAAGATGACAGGAGTGGAACAAAATAAATCTGCAGCCTAATGATGAAACAAAAAATGTTTATTTGTAAACGTAATCTTTTTCTTTGTCAATACACTCAATTCACTGAATATTAATCATATTGAATTCAGGTAGTAACTGTGTTTCAGGTTATGGACCTTTCTTCTCATATGTTCCATAAAGTTAATATCAGAAACAAAACAAAAAAGTCTTCTTTTTACTTAATGAACAATTTGGCCAACATAATATCTCTTGTTTTTAATGTCTTTTAGTTTCTCTTGTCAACATCTTTCTGATAAAAAAAATTACAATTTTTTTCTGTCTCTATCTGACCTTTTAGAAATTCACTAAGATCATTTGACTTGCTTAAAATTTTAAAATTCCTTTGACCTACTTTAACTGACCATGTGCAGCTTATGTCATATATTTTAAAGTTATTTAATACTAAATGTACTCTCAGTTTTTCATTTTTTTTACTTTAGGTGGCAATAATACAAATGGCTATACTGTAACTGTTTCTGTTCTTTTACTACAAAATACTTTGATTAAAATAATGATCACACTAATTTTTTTTTATTAAAATATTCAGAAATAACAACTAACTTCCACAAACATCAGCAGTCTTCTATTAGTTTAAAAATAGAATTTGAATAAAAATTGTCAT